AAAAATCTAATAAAAAATATAACATAAAATGCTAATTTACATGTAGGATAAATACACATTTTTCCAACTAACTTATATGTAACATGACTGTACATTTCTCTAAATTTTTATACTAAATCTAATATAATAATTATTAAAAATAAATTTATAGCATTGCCTTAATGTTATGTACTAATAGAATAAATCAGGGGAAAAATTGTACATAATCAGTATATAAGTATTAATTAGAGGATACAAAAGAACTCCTCTGTTTTGTTTACTACTTGCAACTTCTTCTTAAAGTGTTGCCATTCCGAAATTAAAAAAACAAAATAAAATCCATGGCATCAATAAAGTTTTACAGAAGAAAAATAATTACATTTTATTACCAACACAAAAATATTCAGATTTATTTTTTTAGAATAATTTTTTTGTTAAAAGTTCAATTAATATTTCATGATCTTTCTTAAATAACCTGGACTTAAAAATCAGAGTATCAAGAAAATGGTTTGCAACAATCTTTTTATTATGATGTTCTTGGTTTCAAAAGAATGAAATAAAAAAATTAAAAAATAAAAAATAATTATTGAGACGTGACCTTCATCACTCTGGCTTAAAATATATTGCATTCTAAATGTAAAGTTGCTTCTATAGTGAATAGACATTATAATACTTATCTTCTTCACCATCAAACAACTATTTCTAAAATCTTAGAAGTTCCTCTTTTCAAATATCAATAAAATAAATGAAAATAAATAAAAATTACTATCTAATACAATAAAATTTATTATTGATTTTAGAATATTTAAAATTCTATTAGCATTATACATTTAAGTTTACTTGTTATTACTTCTGGGATCCAAAAACTTTTTTCCTTTTATTTTTTTTCTTGGTTATATAAGAACCATTAGGCAATTTATGAGCACTTTTTAAAATATTTGTTAGGTTACTTTACATATCACCTAGTCTTAAAATCCATAATTTTTTTTCTATTTTTGTAATAAAATATAACTGAATACTTTATGTTTTAATATAACAAATATAGAGTTTTATATTTTTTATGTATTTCTTTTTTTAAAAAAATCTTTCTGTACAATGTTATGCAATCACATCACACAAGTCTTGAGTTCTACATAAATGAAAAGAAAAAAAGAAACCTAAAGGTTGAATGTTTGTAAGACAATATTTGTAATACATAATAAAGAAAGAGAATTGGGCATTACAAAACAAACCCCCACAAATTGTATAATTCATTGATTATTAAAATACCTTGTCCATTTAAAGAGTGTGTCTCACCAAATAAATTAAAAATTAAAATACTGGATTAGATATATTATTCAAAATTAAGTGATCCTTCAATATGTATGTATGTATGTATGATCAAAATATAATCAAATAAAAATCTTGTTTTAAAATAATTAATCAAATTATATGCTAACCTGTGGTATTGGGCAGGTAACTTATACACATGCACTATCGAAATAAATTAAGCCTTAATATGAGTTTAAAAATTAGCTATTCTTAATTATAAACAAAAAAGAATTAAATGATGTCAAGTTTGTGTAGAATGTACACAAGTCTCCATCAACTCATTGGAATCATAAGAATCAAAAAAATAAGCCAAAGAAATCTGAATATTTAAAAAATTGGTTAGTACTTTGCATTTGAAAAAGATACAAAAAAGTGATGACATGTTGAATATAGATTATATCATTGCATGAATAGTAAAAATCTTAATCATTAAGAAGATGTGAAAATTAATCATATAAAAGTAAAGAAATACAACTTATTTATTATCTTTAAGTTGATTTATGTACAGTGTCTCTAACTAGAGTATGTGATTCCAAGATTAAAACATGTGCTTTCAAATAATGGTAGATGCAACTTTACAACCACGAATAGCATTTGTATAAAAAAAAAATCATATTTTTTAAATATAAAGAGAAAGAATTTTTTCTCTCAAATTTCCTTGTGTATATATATATATATATATATATATATAAAGAAAAAACACATGATAGCTTTCGTATTATCAAAAGCACCGGTAAAAAAAATGTCCTACAAGACTTAAGAGACCCGTGAGGTTGAAAGTCCTATTCAACTTGTAATGTTCAAAGTATTGAACATTAACATATTCAATGAAACACGTTAACAACTGATATGACTTCTACATAAATGATTCTAAACTAACCCAAACTTGGCTTTCAACCTAATTAACATCTAAAAGCATCTGCACAGCCAAATTCCCTACAAGAAACATAACATAAAATAAAATAAAATAATCTAAACTTGCAGAGACAGCACAGTAGTTTTAAATTTATGATGGTGAGAATATTCAAAGGTCGCTAAGGTACATTTCAAATTAGCATAAATTGAGATGCATAAATTTTGAAAAGAAAACCCAATTTTGAATAAATTATTATTTATACTATTTTTGTGTGTTTGTGGTTGTGAAACCTTTTTTCCATGTTGTTGTTAAAACTTCAACAAATCTGTCATCCTCACATTGATTGCTGTGTTTGGCAAGTCTACGTGGCAAAGCCTTGAAATCTATCATTCTAGCAAATAGGTGAAATCGGATGGATGAAACAAGGGTGTTCGGATGGACGAAACAAATGTATTTGGATGAAATAATATATATTAATATATAGATATGATTTTTTATTTATTTAATGTGAATTGAACCGTGCTTGACAATAAAAGCTGTGGCGTGGTGTTGAAGTGTGAGCTGATTAGTGAAGGACAGTATTTGCAACACATGGTTGTGTTATTGAATGCCATAGAGGAGACAGATTGCATGATTGCTTTAGGCACAAGTACAAAATGAGTAAATTCTTGTCATTAAGTGATTTTTTTTAAGACATGCTAGTAATTTCATGTGAAATCAACCATTGATTAATTGGGAATACTAGAAACTTATTTTTGGTGAGCCAGGTTTGAATGAAATAAAAAAATGACAAGTTACCATAAAGTGAAGAAAAATCAATATTTTTGTAAATCTTTTGGTTTTTCTTGTGGTCTTAGAAAGAAAACAAAACAAAACAATCAAACAATCAAAACAATCAAAACAATACAAAACAAATAAGTATGCATGTCCAAAGTATAACTGATTCAGTAGCATGTTTTTGAGGAATTGTTTATCAGATCTAATACTTTCAATTTGAATTTCTTAAGAAAGGCTTGAAAGAACGGTCCACATTATCAGCACATATCTTAAAAAGGTTTAAAACTTACCTTGATCTGTGAGATATATTGAAAGAATGACATCATACAATCAATGATACAATTTTCACTATGCTTTGCAGAAATCTATTTAAGATTCTCAATAAATACATTATTTTTTGTTTAATCAACTCATTAAGATGGAATATTTCAATTGAATATCATTACAAAATATCTCATATAAAAAATCAGACCTTCATTTCACATCCATCAACTCAACCATCACTATTATTTTTCACTTTTCAAACCAGTAGAAAAAAAACATATACATATATTCAATGTATGTTATTCACAATTCAAGCATTAAGATAGTCACAATCAAACTGCTTCAAAAATATTCCATTGACAAGAGGGTTGTTAAAGTACAACAATAATTAAATAAATAAATCCCATTTGCTAATCACCCAAAAGCTGGTTTGCAAATTCTTAATGGCAGAAGAGGAAAAAAAAAAAAAAAAAAAAAAAAAACTGGGGATGTCGGAATAGCTCAAACATGTACTTTCTCAAATTAAAAAATCAAAATTAAAATTAAAAATATCAACTGTTGATGGGTGGGGCAGCGCTGTCATCACGCCTGCTCCACTCCAAATATGCCACCTAAGCTCAGGAGTTCATTCATGATTTTATAATCAAATCACATCAAGTTAATAAAATATATAATTTGATCAAGAGAAATATATATATATATATATATACATATATATGCACAAAAGAATTTAAAGAGGATATAGTACACCCATACCTGTCCAAAAGAACGAATGGTGGAAGCGAATGTTGGAAAGCACTATAAAACCAAAAAACTAAAAACTAAAAACAAAAGTTGAAAAATAAATAAAAAGAATGCAACCTTTGGAGGTGACGGCAAAGTGAATTATTTTAGAATGGACAACCCAACCCACTGTCGGTATTTCCATTTATTTTATTTATTTAGTTATTTATTTATTTTGTCTCTCAGGTTCCATGTATTGTTATCTTATTGTACTTCTTCATTCCTGATATGAACGCCCAGTACCACTATTTACTACCATTCTTCTATTCGTATACATCCCTGGTAAAGGAACAATAATCCCCCATTGCTTTGAATGCCCTTTCGGTGCTTTCCACCCTTTTGTGGAGTGAGCCTGCCAGTACATCCCATTCCTGCAGCCACAGAAAATAAAACAAAGCAAAACAGGGATGAAGAAGAAGAAGAAGAAGAAGAATGAGTCCAAGTGGTGGGTACATGGGCACTGGGTGCTGTCGATGCTGTTGCTGCGTCCATGTACTCTCACTCTCTCGATGAGACACACTGCCTGCCTTCAAGGGAGCTCAGAACTCCACACATGCTTCTGTCAGAAGATAATATATATATATATATATATCTATATATCTATATACCCAATTACACATACACATACACACACCCTAATTGAGACAGACAAACACACACACATATATATATATATATATATATAAATATATATGTGTGTGTGTGTGTGAGAATGAGAGAGTGTGTATGTGTATGTGTATCTATATATCTATATATATATATATAGATATATTTACGTGCTCGAAGTGCCATGGCAGTGAAGAGGACCCACCAAGGAGGCAAGCTGCCCCGGTCAGGATCAATGAAGACAAAGCTGTTACCGAATGCAACCACCAGCATGGGACCAAAAAGATGAGGGGAAAGGATGCCACCAATAAGCGGCATCATGAATCGGTTGCAACAGGGCAATTATAACACTGTCTCACAGAAGAAGCACTAGCTCAAGCACACACATACACAGCTCATCAAAACCTGAAAACGGCACGCCGAGTGGTTTGGCAACGTTGGGTTATGATTTTTATTTTTATTTTTATTTTTTTCCGTCTAAGGAATTCGACCGAAGACTCCATGGCTGAGAAAAGTAATTACAATTGGGTGCATTTGCATGCGATGGAGAATCTCGGCGTCGTCTACTACAGTTCCCGCTGAACGGGATATGAAGGTTGTTCTACAAAAAAAATTCGACGCAGCTTTTGCATGTGACCCCAGCCTGGCCAGTCTGCCGCAGCTCAGGCTTTCGAGGGAGAAATGCATGCTGAGCTCTGTAACACTTTAGAAATCATATGTCTACGTTGGTTTTTAATTATTGTTTTATTAGGGGGAAACAGAAACTGACACATTCAAGGGATGTTGTCGCAGACTGCAGGGTCTTGCTGCATGGGCTCCTCCTCCTCCACCTCCTGACACAAGGACTCAAACTGATGGGAGAATTCGGCGGTGCTGAAGTCCATGGGGATGATTAACTCCAAACCACCTGATTCCGGAACAACTCCATCCGGGGCGACGTTGTGGATCTGCAACCTGCCGGAATCATGCTGGTCCTCGTGCCAAAATGTGTCCGGGATAGTGGACATGGGAGACTCGTCCTGGTGATCGGCGCCCCCAGGGAGGGGTGGGAAGCTGTGGAAGAAGCCATGCTGCTGGTGCAGAGCGAACTCAAAGTAGTCGGATGTGGATTCGTCAGCGCTGCCGCATGGACTGCCGGAATCGGAAGGCGTGAGATCGGAGTCAGGCCCGTGCAGGGTGCTGTTGGGGGAGAAGTAGTCCTCGGGTGCCACACCGTCGTCCAGGTCAAAGCCGTCTGACCGTGCCGCCTCTGCGGCCGCTGGGAATCCGGGAGTTGAATCCGGACTCCTTTGATGATCAATCCCTGTGAACATTATCTCCGCTAAGGACGACGACATCGCTTCACCCGAGGCACCGAACGAGTTCGACCTGGCCTGCGGGGGTGCTGCGGGCTCTACCCGAAAACTGTTCATTCTCCCCACCGAAAATTGCTTCAAGGCGTGGGTCAGTGCGAGTGCTCCCGAATTTTGCCAAAACGGGTTGGGCAGGTCGTGGCGAGGACCGAGAACGGAGTCCCAGTCTTGTAGAATCTTAGACGGTCGACTGACAGGCTTGGGAATGGGAGTTGAGCAGTTGATCCTCACAGAGGAGAAGGATTCGAGCTTCACTGGCCCGAACTGAGGCTTGAGTGTATCTTCCACCCCCGTTTTCCAGGAGCGCATGAAGTAGGCGGAGGGGTGTGTTGCAGCTGGCGTCGTGTCGGATTCCTTGGACAAGAGCTTGATTGAGGATGTCTTGGAGAGCCGTGCTTCCGCCTCCGCTAGAGCACAGTCCCACTGGGTGGTGTGAGTGAGCTGGGTCGACACCAAGGGTCTCCATGAGGACGCAAGCGCCAGCCCCGCGCTGCTTGTTTTGTGGCTGACGGGGTCGATTCCCCTGTGTGCCAAGCGTTTCTTCAAATGCGTGTTCCAATAATTTTTTATCTCGTTGTCTGTTCGCTGGGGCAGGTGGCCCGCGATTGCTGACCATCTAATCCAACCAAAAAAAACGTGCAATGCTTTCGGAATCAAATATTTTCAGAAAGAAAGTGTACTGAGAAATGTGCCACATTTGCGGGGCATGGGTAAGCTAAACTCAATTCTTCGAAAATGCTTTATACCTGTTGCCCAAAATGGCGTGAAGCTGGATAATCATCTGGTCCTCCTCGTGAGAGAATCGTCCTCGCTTGATGTCAGGTCTCAGATAGTTCGTCCACCGCAGCCTACAGCTCTTGCCGCACCTCGCAAGCCCTGAAAGAAAAAAAATGCGCACTCAGAATGGGACTGCAGACAGAAACTCTACTTTGTCGCCCTGAAACATGACTCAATTCCATTGATCTCACTGCCCATTATGGCCCACAGCGACATGATCTGCCGTTTTAGCCCTTCTTTTTCAAGAATCCAGTTGATTCAAGCGTGAATTGACCTGAACATACAACCACAAGAACGTCGCAGCCAAGCGCGGGCACACTGAGAATCAGCAGAGTGCGACGTACCAGCTTTCTCAGGGAGTGCGCGCCAGCTTCCATGACCGTGTTCCTGAATGTAAGCCACCAGCTTCTGATCCTCATCAGGTGTCCACGGCCCCTTCTTCAGGGATAGCTTCTCATCGCAGCATGGAGCCCTACCCATGGTTCTCAACTACCCAATCACACAACTTCACTACCCCAAAAAGAAATGCAGAGCCTCGGCTCCCACAAAATTCCTACCAAGTGCCCACGAAGGTCTACACAAGCTGGACAGCCGAAAAGAACGACCCCACCTCGCTCATGCGATTTCTGGCTGTGTCACCTGCAAGCTGTGCCTCGAACCCTGTGATGTTGTCCAACCAACCGCTCTCTTCACAACAACCTAGAAAATGCCTGAAACCCAAAGTAATCGATATGTGGTGTATTATCACACGGAGGCATCCGCGAAGGGGGAGCGGCAAAAAGCGGGCGACACGACGCGGGGTGAGTCAGGCGTACCAGAGAATTGGATGAGAGAGAGAGAGAGAGCATGAGAGAGAGTGAGAGAGAGAGAAGGTACTACGACGCGCTTGTGCTTGAACGTGGTGCAATGAAGGCACACAGACCCCAGAACCCTCTTGACAGAGGAGCTTTCTTTCCACAGGGATCGTGGCAAAGCGACAATGCAGAATTGTGCGTGTACCAGTCACATAAAGAAGCCGGGCTGGTTGCGGTGTTTATAACCTCCTCTAGGGCCCTTCTGCCCGGCAGGGCTGGGCAGTAGTAGTTGTAGGAGTAGCAGCAGAGCAGCTGCAGTTAATGGGGATCCGTAGTCAACTCCTGCAGCAGCAGCAGCTTCAGCAGCCTCGCAGCACGCAATTGATCGACGGCACCCACAGGGCCGTCGGGTGCCCTGACAGCCACATCCCGAGTCGCCAGTCATGCGCCCTCACAGTCTCAGAATAGCAACTTAGGGAACACACACTCCCAAATTCACAACAATCTCACACACACTCTCTCTCTCTCACACACACACTCACACACACTTCCTCGCACTTACCGGGATTGTGCTTGCGGATGCATGCTTCGCTTCCATCGATTCATTTCGTCGGGCTCAAGCAACAGAGCCAGGGCAGCTTTCCTCCATAACCAGGAAGGACTCTCTCACCGCAGACGATGATGAAGGAAAATTGTAAACGAGTTCATGTGAATGGAGATTTTTGTTTGTTTGCACTACTCAAAAGGCTTGGGTCTGTGTGTCGTTGTAAAAAGTAACAGATGGTGAAAAAACTTGAGCTGAATTGGTTCAAGTCTTGGTTGTGAAGTTTTGGAATAGAGCACCAGGAGAACTTGTGTTGTTCCATCACCATAAGGAGTTTTTTTTTTTCTTCTTCTTTCTGTGGTAATAGGTGCGTTAATATAATTTCTGATTTTGAGAAGAGTTCCATTGCATGAAGTATAAAACTGTTCTACTCCATTGAAGGAAAAAATTAACAAACTTTAAAAAGTTGGCACAGGCACCACAACTAATTGATATTACTAGTGTTTGCATAGTTTTACATGATTTGTTATAACATTAACTCTTACGTCTTTATTCTTTCTTTATTGTGTTTATGTATTTTCTTCTTATTTTTCCCTTGTCTTTTTCTTGTTTGTTTGTTTGCTTGCTTGCTTGCTTCAGTTGTATTGCAAATTGATACGTTGCTTTCATTTGTCTCATTCATGTACCTAAATATAAATTCTAGTATGTTTAGAGGAAATAAATTAAAAAGCTAAAATGTTTGCACAAGACCATATCTTAAATATAAATACCATCATTTTAGCTTATCAAATCCTCTCACACATATTTTAGATGCAAAATTGTTTTACGTAACAGACGCCTTTCCGTGGCAAACAAGTATCATGGGTTTACTTCATGTTGTCACACAACGTTACTAAAATTTTATTTTTTGGAATTCATTCAAAAATCAGAATGAAAATGACTCACACGTAAATACATATGTTATCATGCAAACTTTACAATGCAATTTCATCGATTAATGCCTAGCAATTTGACTATTAATGTAAATGACTATCTTTCAGACCTCTAATTGACCTTCAAAATATATATCTGTCTCTCTCTCTCTCTCTCTCCACATACATATAAATATATATATATATATATATATATATTATTTACTCATTCATTCATTCTGCACATCCAATCAATCCATTAATCCACCTAGAAAAATCAATCTGTGAGAAAGATTTACTTCAAAACAAATACCCGCTGCTGTGCAAAGTCAGCCTGTCCAAGCTACACATCCTCACGGTCTCTGCCTCTGAGCAGCAACCACAGCATCAATCATTTGAACATGCACTTTGCATTACTCACCTCGCAGGTAATCCCACTCTGCAAAAGATTATTATACCTCCTGCGCACTGGGTGCTTTCACCCACGCACAGATTAAAAAGTGAAAGAAAAAGGCATACACAAAGAAGGATGAAGAAGAAGGACAAAACAAACGAACAAACTGGCATTACTGTCAACCCTGAAGACATTGAAGCTTTCGGAAGCAACTGCCTGAATGCACTCGGGGAGCAGATGGTGCTTACCACGGCGCAGATCAGGGGCACCTGCAGGTGCACGAAGCTGTGTCAGTCAGGGACAGACAGCATCCATGGAGCCACCAAATGGTGGAAGCTTTGACACCGCAGTTGGGAGGAGGCTTCATCTGCCGCCGGGAGGTCGGCGTGGCCCCGCATCACGACGATCCGGTGCTACTAGCCTCGATCCAACGCTTCGCTGCCTGTGATGCAGGTATTACGACAACAACCCACAGGTTAGTCTTGTCTCGATGTACCTTTGTGCCGATCATCGGACCCCTGCTGCCAGTGCCCGCAAAACTCTCTATCTCGTTGAATGCGGCACCAGATCAACGAAATGAATGTCTGGTATTCACATCAAACCTTCACTATACACAACATATACAGACAGATAGATAGATAGATGGGGAGATGGATACATGGCTTGTTTTTATGTTTAAGATTGTGGGTGTGGTTACAAGATGTTCCGAATTAGAGCGTAAAATTGGGTTCTTGAAGAAATGTGTGGATTGAAATGTTAATACTATGTGACAAAATTGACGGCATTGAATTGTCTAGTTTGCATTTAGAAGTGTATAAGCTTGTAAACAAAAGTTAAAAAATATGAAAACCTAATTTCATTGTCACACTTGCTAATCTCTTTTTCATTTATTTTAGTTTTTTGAAAATTTATGACATGAGAGTCTTTTTGCAGTTGAGTACGGTTATTGGAATGTATTGATTTGCGTTAATAGAATTTTGCAGTGATGTATGATGAAACTAAATTTTTGATATTCTGCAATTTAAAATTGTAAATAGTAAATTAAAGTTTCAAAATGCCCAATGGTAACTTTGTGTTAAGTATTCAATATTACTCATATTAACTTTTTTCAATTCATAACATGTAATTTGTAATAGTGTTTATTTATTTTACATTCATGTTCAATTATTGTATGTTTTATGTTTGTATTTGTATATAATTTTAACAAACTGTGCAATGCTCAGAAACTAAATCTTTTTAAGATCAAATTACTTGTTTTTATGCTAAAAGAATTTTATTTTTATTTATTTTTCATTTCAGCTGTACAAGGACTTCAATTAATCATCTATATAAAATTTAACAATAAAACTTCGATTTTTTTTATATCTTTAAAAAAGCATTGTTACTGATTGGATATGTTTTGTCATAAAAACTCATGATTTAGTTGCAAGAATAATTTTAGTAATTTTTTAAATGATATAGATATCCTAACGTATAATTTCTAATTTTATAAAGTAGATGATTAAATTTATTTACAAATGTCTTATATTATATTTTTATTTTAAATCACAAATAGCTACTTTCAAAACAATGCTACTAAAGACCTCCATATGCATGCAAGCCAAAAACGTATCCATTCTCATGAAGAGCTTTTCTACCTAACAAGATAACAATAAAATAAAAATTAAATTAAATTAAAATACGAAATTTAGTTAAATTACTGTAAATTCTAAACTATTTATTTTATTATTTTACATTATTATTTCTTTCATAATTATATTAAACTATTGAAATCATATTTGTTGATATATATATATATATATATATATATTAAACAAAACTATTAATTTCTTTAAAAGATTTTTAGTGTATAGATAAATAGAAATCATCCTAAATATATATATTTTGATTTATGTTATGTATAATATTTTTTTTGTTAAAAATATTATGTGAAACGGGAATAAAAATATGCACATATTTTTTAAGTTTTTACTTATATTTATTAGTTTTCTTTTAAGTAAACTTCTCTTGTATGTATAATAATTGTTATGAATGTGATTAGATTTTTCTTTTGTAATTAATAATGTGTTTGTATATATATATATATATATATATATACATATACATATCTATATATGTAAGTTCACACTGAGTTCTACATTAAATGACATTTCATTTTTATAGTTGCTAATGGACGTTGTTTACTTGATTTTAGAAACAATTTTGCAAGGAGCACAGTAAAAAAATGAAAACATGTTGATATATCTTAATTTAAATTTAAAATTCAGGTAAATTTAAATTTATTATCAATGTAGTACTTGTAAAAATTAGTCTGTTTTTAATGATGTACGGTTAAATTAGATTACGATGGTGGAGGATTATGAAAATTTAAAGACAAACCAAGTCAAGCAATAGAACTAAAAATAGTATCAGTTGCTTAATAACAATGAATATTTTCTAATAAAACTAATATAAAACAAATGTTTAAAGGTTGAGGCATTAAAATGTGGTAATATGCTAACAAACAAGTTGATTCTGTAGCTCTCAAAAACAAAAGATGTGCTTAATTTACTTTCAAATTCTCAAAGATATTGAAACATATTCAAAACATAAATAGTTAAACAAATGAGAGTATTCCTTTCAATTTCCCCTTTATTTCTCCCCTGGTAAAATCCTCAACTTTTTTTCTCATTTAGTGCACTTGTAATCAACCAACTTTGACTCATTTGAACTTCACACCAATTTTCAGTCACCCTAACCAACTCCTGAAAAAAAAAAAAAAAAAAAAAACCTTAAAAAAACCTTTAAAAAGTATAAAATGTAAATAAATAAATAAAAATACCTACATCTCCATTTATGCCTACCTGCCCCTAACAACAACTACCACTTCTTAGGCCAAGAATGAAAGAAGAAGAGTGAAACTTGTACAACCCCAACAATCATATATATATATATATATATATATATACACACACATTTATTTAATTTTTATTTAAATGAATAATTAATTAGTGGGTACCTGAATGTGACCCTGTAAAGTGGCCTGCAAATGTGCTCTCATCCTGCTTCTGCCATGGCCTGACTCTCCCCACAAACTCCTCTTTGTCTACATTCCCCACCTTTAAAAGAACCAAAACCCTAAAAGTCATAGACAAGGAAAGAACAGCGAGCAAAAGAAAGAACATATACATGAAAGGAGAGGTGCTTTTTAAAGTGATGAATATGGAAACATAAATGAGCCACAAAGCTGCCTCTCAGCAGTTAAGATATGAGAGGAGTAGAATTAGTGTTAATGAAACTCCCAAAGAGTATCTTACTTCCAACTACATGCATTTATTATGTGTGGCTTGGAAAGTCATTCATCCACTTAGCTCCTCTTCATCCATCCATCATGACAAATAACACCAATAATAACTTACTTTCACTTGCAGTTGCCCCAAATTTAGAACCATAGTTGGGCATATGGAAAAACTCATACAAAGCTTCATGGGAGAGATATTGACTCTTGGAAGGTTTTGTATTGTGTCACAATGGACCATTTGGTTTTTGGGCCTAAGATATTATCATGGACTAACAGACCCCCCCCCACCCCAAATTTCCATGTTTCCATATGCTATTGAACTCTTCCTTGCCATGATGTGTGTATATATATATATATATATATATACATAAACATTTATTTATTTATATGATTTTTCTTCCTTTTCCTTTTTTAACCATCCTTCAATATCTATTTTCCATGTGTTTTTTTTGGTGATTTATTTTGGTTTTTGTTTTGAAGTTGTTGACACTCTTATTGAAGAGAATGAACATGTGTGTGACTTACAACCTGGTTGATTCAATAAGCACAGAAGATCTTCATACTTGTAACTCCAATTATAACAATAATAATAATAATAATAACAATAACTTGGTAAATAAAGTAAAGAAAAAATTGGGTCTGCAAAGAGGCAGCCTAATTTGAGGAACACATTGAATGAACTCCCCTAATAAGAAGGCCACAGATTTCATACCAACTTAGAATCAGCTTTATAAATTCCATGGAAAGCTTTGGAGGTTAGGGTTTTAATTCATCATCTAAGCATGAATTAAGGAGTTGACTAGTGGAGTAGAAGGAGGAGTTGACGTGGGGGCTTATACATTCTCTTTGATTTTTTTCCAAATCCATGCCTTTTGATGAATTAATGCTCAATTTCATGTACTATTGGATCTCCGTGTCATATGACCCCTTTTTTGCCAAATCACAATCCCACTTGTTGACTTATGAACATCATCTTTCTTTGCACATTTTGATGCTTCTCCTTGGGCTTGTGGAATTGACGGCTTGAGCACATGCAAATTGCACTTTGTGCAAAGATTGCAAGTTTATTTTTGGAAAGATTTTTCATAAGTGATGATAATTATTGCAAGGTGATGGTGGAAGTGAAATATTTGTGGGTAATTTGTGGCATGAATACTTTCAAACCCACCAATGGAGGTTTGTATTCTGTCTAGATTTATTCCACAAGGGGGAATAAATTAATTAATTAATTAATGGGCACTTCTAGCAAACATGAAGTATCACCTCACATGAACTATGTTGTGTACTTTGACCCTTATTTACAACAATATGAAAATTGACTAAAATTTTAACAAAAAGGTCATGATTTTAATTTTTTAATTTTTTTAAAAATTATCATGGAATTCAATTTAAGCTACATTTGAAAGTTATAAATATCTTACAAGATATGCAAGAATAAAATAACAAAAGTGTAGCTTAATAATTATATAAATAAGTTGCCTGGTTTTAGAATTAATACTTAAACATACTTACATTTTCTTTGAACAGATGGAAAATTACTTGCCATGGTTGTATATGTTTAAATCAAGGCTATGATGGATATGTGATCCATCTGTCAGTACATGAAAAGATGTTTTTTTCATTATTCGTCAAATGTTTTGTTCCAAAATACAATAGAAAATTGAAGATAATTTGGAAGCTTAGTATCAAACAACACATTATTATTTTTTTCATTTTTTTAAAATTTTTAATTGTTTTATATGAAAATCATTGTGGTTGTACATTGCAAATGATAGAAATGTATCACATAAGAATCATCAACACAACTAACATAAAGATTCCCAAAATTAGAAGGTGGTCTTATGGAGTTTTACAACCATTAATTAATCTCAAAATGGCTCTTATCATTAATGTAAAATGTTTCCACCTAATCAAGCCAAAATCTCATTATTCTTGTAAGCTATTAGTGCACAAAAATTGTGAGATAATCATTTTAGATGATCCTATAAAAACCTCATGTCAAACCTCGGCAGCCTTGTATCCAGATCATGCATCCTCCACATATTAGCAATTTTGTTTATTACTATTTGTTTAAAAATCAATAATAATGGTATCATAAATGCTGTAGTCCCTTCTATATCTACAAAATCTGTCGCATCTCTATTCACACTGAGCTGAATCTAGACACTTTTATTTTTTTATTTTTTTTATCAATGTCTGCTAATTAATAAAACCATGGAAATAATTAAAAATAGAATAATATAAGTGTTTGCAATGCCACGCTGTCATCCCTTTACAGGCAAACGATAAAGCCAATATGATAGAAATGTCTAACCCAAAAAAAATATTTTATTTTTCATTTATCAACTAACTAACTTACAAATTATTAAGCAAAAGTGGGTTTGTTAAAATATCCATATTGTTAAAACATTGGTTTGTAGAGCGGATGGGAACTTCCCGGGAACCATCTAAAAGTAATAGTACCCAAATTGGGAACTGTGTCTTTGGATTTGTTCATGATTTGGGTTATCATGTTCCCGAAGTCTTGCTTGTCATGAGATTTGCTTGTCAGATTGTTCTTATTCATGGACAAATAAAATAAATAAAAAAGAGACTTGATTTACTATTTTAGGGTTTGAAATGGTGAGATATGAGGCACAATGCAACAAACATTCTTGGAGTGATTCAAGCACACAATTGGGGAAATTCTTTGCACATTATAATTTGGACTAGAACTAAATTTGAATTTCTGATAATGTTTAGGGGAAAGTATGAGGTTTTAGGGTCAATGATACCATTCAATGTAGAATCTTATTAGTTTGATAGGAAAAGATGTTTTTGGCTATGTATAATAATAACTTGATGTTTATATATGAATGCAACATGAATACTAAGAAACAAATAAGTTTGTATAGATTGTTTTATGTTGAAAAATGGTGCATTTTGTGGTCAATTTTGAAAGAAAAGAATGCACAATCATTGTGTTTGTTTATACATTGGATGCAATTATTTTAGAAATGTTGACAATTAACTAGTACCTTAAAGTATAAAATTTAAGTTCCATGTTTTGAAAATAGCATAATATAAGACAATTTTTTAATTAGTGTTTTATAAATAAATAGGAGAAATGATCAGATTGAAGTTTGAGTTTTTTTTTTATCATAAAGACATGTTAAAAAATTAGTTAAAAAAGAAAAAATGCACATAAAATACAAAAATATTACAGCCTGAGTAGTGATTATATAGTATACAATATTATTTTATCCTATATAGCATGTGATCTAAACTAGTATATATTCTCTCAAGACTTTTAATGTTTATATGAGATCTTTTGGGAATTGGTTATAAAATATTAAAAAAATAATAATTATACACACATATAAATATAAATATAAATATTTTAAATTTCATTATCTGTTTAAAAAATTATATATATATATATATATATATATATATAAGCTATGATTACATGTACATTGACAAATGATTTGATTTTCAAAACCCATTACAAAGTTACCAAAATTATGTAAATTATTGAAGTAAATGACTTTAGCATGCTATTAAAAAAAATGTTAAACTACTAACATTTCATATATAATATTAATAATAATTTCTACTATACTTTTTTATTTAATAAATTATTATTTGTGAATTAGCAACTATTTCATTAATTAATTATTATTAATATTATATATGAAATATTTGTATGATAATTCTTTTTAACTGAATGCTTATTTCTAGTTATTAAATATTTTTAATTCTCAATAGTTGGGTAGTAATCTTATGTAGATTTCAAATTGTTGAACTGCTATCATGCAGCAAAAAAATCTTTATATATATTTTTATTAGTTCATAACGCATTTATTATAAAATAATGAATATGTGACTTTATATATGAAAACGTCATTCACATAATGTACAGACATACATACATACAAATAAAAATAAATATTGAATTTCTGTATGAGATGAACATGTATCTGTAACCATCACTCACATAACTATCACACAGATGAGATGGACTTCTGGATCACAACACTCCACACACACGTCAAATGAATGAGGATGTTGGGAACAAGCTGGTCCTCCTCACCAAAACATGTTTTGAATGAATAAAGTACAGAGTTCCAACAAAGTTGGTTATAACATCTTCTATCTGGACTTCTTCCTGCAAGCTCTAATTTGGTCTAATGAAATTTTAAAATAAAAATCCTCATGTTTTGGTTACTTTTCAAACCAAAAATCCAAACCTTGGCAAGGGACTGCTGAAATTCTGGGAGATTATCACTTTATTGCAGAAAAATGCTACAGTCCAACCCTGCCGAGCAATTGCTAAATCCAGTTTGAAAAATCTGGTTTGAAGTTTATTAGTCATTGTGGTTGGCTGTGCAATTAGCTCAATAGCGAATTCGAAGTGGTAAGTTCACAACGGACTCCACTGATTGCTATGTGCACAAAAGGTCGCTTAGCAAGGAGAAAATAGGGGCTGCAGGAATTCTGGAGCCACACGCAAGATTGTTCAGAAGGTTTCATGTCTCAGAAAGTGCTTTACAGATGTACAAATTACTAAATCAAAACTTCGCTGAGGGGTAAGCTCTGTAGGCAAAATCTTGTAGCCTGCGTGGACTGACAGTCTCAGATATGTGTACTACGATTTCCTGAGAAAAGACCAAACACAGTCCTTGTTTAAAACAGGACCTTTGTTTGACTTGGTCAAAGCACTGAAATCAAATGTGCTGCAAGCCAGAAGGCCAAGCCTGCAATCTGGCATGTCGAAGGTAGGACTTACGTTGGATACACACCACGAATTAAGTTCTGGGATTGCTGCCTCTTCTACACTAGGTTTAATACAATTCTAGGCAAAATAGTCCGGGATTTACATACTTCTGGAAAGCAAAAACTTGGAAAATTTTGCCTTGCAAATCAAAATAACACCCAAAACATGAAGAAATTGCAGGTCACCTCCTCTTGCTTTCCTTATTTCTGAGGAGAGCCTCTAGAGCATTGTTTCTTGATTGGTTCTCCGCACTCAACCCCAATCTTTGAGACATTCGAGTGCTTCTAGTCACCCTTCGACCTCCCTCTAAAGATGGCCGCTTCGCATCTTTAATTGACCTCTGTACAGACTCCCAGGCTTCGAAATCATCGGCAGAATCATCTGAGGTCAATTCTTCGATAACTTGAACCTGTCCATTATTCATAGTGAATCCATTGGATTGATGATCTTTCCGTGGAGAATCTAGATCTTTTGAATGCTTCTTAAGTCCAAAAGTAAGTGCACCCTGACCATTTAATTCGAAAATTCTGCCTGAAGGTGATGTCGTGCTCCTGCACGTCACAGATAGTCCACTAGCAAGACTAAGTCCCTCTTCCTTGAAGTAATCATCCGGCAGTGCATGCACGAACTCTGAAGATAGACCTGAAGCAGAACCCACTTCCAATGTTCCTTTGACAGGTGAGGCAACCTCAGCTTGCAAATTTGAAGTAGCACATCTTTGCTTCGCATCGAATACACTGCTCCCATGTATCTCATCGTCATTATTAGCTGGCCCAGAATTATTTCCTTCATCAGGAGATAATACGCTATCGAATTCCAACAGCGCACCATTTTTCTGCAACTTGACAGCGTCTTCATTCAACAAAGAACACGATGGATCATCACTTGATTGTGAATCATCTTGGACTCTCAAGTCTACAGTCGTGGAAGGCCTATTGTACTGCAGAACAAGTTTATCAAGCAGAACAGGGACCTGCAAAGGTTTGACCTGGAGAAAAACACAAGATCGTCATCAGATTCATCAAAATAACTAATTACGATGGAGACTTTAAAGGCATGTAGAGATCATTGAAAAAAAATGCAGCTGGCAGCAAGTAAAATCACCAAGGAATACAACCAGGGTTCAGTTCAGTGTCTCAAGAGATACAGACTTGTAATACAAGTACGAATAGGGCCAACAAACAGGGTGAAAAAACAAAGATTCTTAAACGAACACCAAAAAGAAATAGCACATTACCTGCAGAGATAAACTTGGAGCTGAGGAATTCTCGTGAATCCAAGTATCATCATTTGGAGGAATTACAGCCTCAGGACCTGACTCAAGGTCATCATCCACTACCCAAACGTGTGAATTGAGTTGAGCCGCACCAGACTTCCAGCTCACTCGAGGCCCATCATTGCCACTTTGTTCCGGACCTCCACATCTATTGTTACCTTCTAGATTGTCGGGACTAACGTCCATATGTTGCAACTCAGCACTTTCTTCTTGCCTACTAGAACTCACGGCTCCACTGAGGTCATCACACGGCTGGGCGTCATCCAACCGAGGGTAAGCGCAGTCATCAATCTGTGCCTCCTTCATTTGATGTGATGGGTCACTGCGACCTGGACTGGGTACACTTATAGACTGAGCCGTGCACTGTTCATCAGCACGCAAGGACATTGGTAATGCCACTGTTAGGTCTTCATCTGCTAAAAACACTCCATTGGGAGCATTCTCGTTTAATTCCAAGTTATCTCTGGGGCTTCCTAAGCTCCTCCCTAGTGAAAGTTCAAGAATCAACTTCTTGATTACAAGACGTTTTGCTGAAGCTTCAGATGGTTTAAACCAGTTCCTTTGAAGCTGTTAAGATACCACAACACACCACTACATTACTCAGAAAATTAAGAAGCGAGTACCAAAATCACGCATAATTGAGCAAAATTGACATTTGAAAAGCACAGTACAACATACAAGCATTCAGGTAAGCTTAATAAACCTCAAAATGAAGGTCGGAATAAATAAGTATAACAAACGAAAAAATATAACCAAAACAAAAAAAACACATGAACACGAAACAATACGCCCTAGAAGCAAATCACAGTTGCACTAACTTACGAACTGCGTTGGGAAACCTTTCTGTCTTTTCGTACGATATACTGGAGGAGCTGTTTTTAGAAAAAGTTCCACATAATGGAGCAGAAAGAGACCACAATCACAGTTATTGTCTTGTTGAGGGACCTACAAAACAAGAGACATCATTTTAGCTTCAAAGACATAATACTTTGATTACAAACAAGTTAATTGTGTGAACACAATAACCATCTTCCCAATCGTCATACCTTGGAATACCTGTACGGCATTTCTGAAAAGAACTCTTCAGCATAGGAAACCTCATAAGGATTAGTTATCTCATTAGGATTTCGCTCCTTCCATTCCTGAAAGAGATAGCTACAATCACAAAACAAATAGACCTTCAGTTTGTCAGCCCAGCACCAGCTACAGGATCTCATCCTTAAGACAGTTTTTTGAGAAACCACTCTTTCATGTTTGGCTATAAAATCTGATGATGACAAAAATCATTTCGCCGTTCCACCAGTATGGTTAAAAAAGCATAATCAAAACATCTGCAACATACGATTGTGACCGAGCTATACACAACAAAGACTATTTTTATAAAATTAACATAACTTGAATACTTATGTTCACTTTCACCCCACTCGTCACATTTATACCCAAACTTAACACAAATTAGAATCACCGAACTCAAAACAGTACTCGAAATCTAAAAGAAACACAGCAATGCATGATAAAAAAAATAACTTAAAAGGAAAAATAGATAACGCAACATTAGGATACTCAACACTCACTGCTTTATCTGAGAAGAGAATAGGTACCCACCTTTTAATGTAACGGTCCAAACCTCTATGGAAACCCTCCATGGAGTCGAGATGCAAAATGCAGGCATCCCCGACAGGTGACCCATCTGCTGCTGCAGACACATGAATAAGACTCAGCCTACTCTCAATCAATGTAGTTCTGTTTTCCTATTAATGCGTCAACAGAGAAGCAGAGAGAAGAAAGCAAAAAAAAATCAGCTAGCTAAAGAAGTTCCCAACAAGGTGCGAGTTGCCGGAAAAGTGGCTATAAGCTCAACTCGAATGATAATCAAAGAATTCTTACTTGTAACATCCCACATTTGTCCAGGGTGGCAGATGATGATCAAGCTCCAATGTAAACTGCGATAACTAAAAGATATTAGCAAATTATTCAAAGCACCAAACGGCAATAGATGCTTCTAAAGTTCAGACTACTCCAACATACTACCAACAAAAGCTTCCATTCCCGATTAATGTTTAAAGAAGAACACCTGGCTTTTTCAATCTAAATCGACAAACCTATAGCACTCCTCAAATTCAACCTCCCTGATCACGAGGCTAATAAGAGCTCCTGTAACCCAACTACCAGCCATCCGGAATATGGAGTATCAAACTCATCTTCTAAACACATACAGAATATTTTCACATCTTAAGTTTTACGGGCAAAAAATGAGAAAATGAATCTCTATAATTAATTTCAGAAGTTTAGAATCTGTCAGACCTCTGATTGACAGGTATAAAAATAAAGTCTTTCTCAAATATATTCACTTTCCTAGTCCATTTCTTTACTCTTTCAAATGCAGCTGGACCACCTATGCCATCTTCCGCTAGTTTGCTGAAGAAGAAACTGTTGAAAAAATGAAGATTCTCCAACTTCTTTGGTGCAATAGTTGTTTGTTGTAGATACCTGTCCAAGAAATGCCATGCTTTAACTCTTCTCAACTTTTCAAGCTCGGTGAAGCATGATAAAATCACTCCCGTCGATTCGAAAAACAAAAAAAGCAAAGAGCCCCAACTTCAGTGCTCCAAGAGTATGATTAACACGCCAATGAATAATTGCAAGCAGCAATTAACATATTCTTCCTAAAAAATGTTTTTCCATCAACACAGGAACAATCAGGACAGTGTTTTCAATAGTAAAACAATACTCACTTGATGTAAAAATCTATGATTGTGTCATTAAGGAACTCAAACGGATTGAGGATTTTGATGTCCTTTCGTGTGATAGTAACCGCGTCTGGGTCACCTTGGGGATAAACCAAAACCTTGAAGGCATCAATTGACTCATCGGACCTGGTCCATTCGATAAATCAAAATCGTTCTTCAACAATTCAAACTCGTTCTTCAACAATACATACAGGGAAAAGCTTGGATAATTGGAATCTGGAGACTCCACATCCTTTTCTCCAACGTCCATCATCGTTTGCATAAATAAATGCTTGATGCAAAGAATATCTAATAGTTCGTGCTATTGACTAAAACAAATTTGCTGCTAGCTCAAGTAACAAGAGCGCTCCACACAAAAGTAATCTGAAGATCTGCAGCTTACTTTTCTGAATATGTTGTAAAAAACGAGGTAGATGCCTGAGAGTTATGAGATTTAATTGAGCGCAAAGTTTTCGTCACATCTTCCCTACGTAACCAAGAATCGAATTATAAGTCAGCAAAAATTGTTTCAGTTGTAACCAAATAACTTCAGGGAAAATAACACATACAGGATAAGAAACTGCTGCAACCGACCTCATCACGGACAGTAAACTCAAAAATCAAAGCTTATAGCTACCAGAGAAGAGAGCAACTCCAACAAGACAACTCTGAACTTAGTGAGCTGACGTTAGACTAAGGCTGCGTGACTTGTCAATGAATGGTGGCCAGTCTTAGAATACATGAAATGCTGTCCACCGATTGTCAAACCTACGAGTTTGAGGCTACTACAAGTAATAAACAAGAGTTACAAAAAAAAGAGTATGGTGGATGACAACAACGTACAATTTGAGTTCCTCAATGATACCCCCAAAAATAGGTGATAATTTTAATATATCGTGAAAACTTTCCCTAAATTTAGAGAGCTCCAACAAGCATTTGTCTGCGCAATGACAGAAAAACAGTTTTGATTAAGAAATTATCCCGGTGTTTTCAGGTGTCACAAAGGTGCTTCTCCATAATTCACTTGCACAACTTTAACAGCAAAGAAGAAAAGAAAAGAAACCTATAACAAAAAAAAAAAAAAAAAAGCCAAGACTGAATCAGTAAAGATACACAGGATAAGAATTCATTTTCTATCACAATGCACTGTAAAAGACATTAGACTCTAGAGAAACAGAACACCCATTCGGAAGAAATGCACAGCACTATAAACAGAAAAGCAGAAACAACTCAAACTATTTACGACTTTATACCCAAGGGCCCACGTAAATGCTCACCAATTGCTTTGCTGGGTCCTGACAAAGGAACTAGAGGAACAGATGTCGTTACAACGATATATGCTTTTGAATCCTGCACTCAACGCAGTGAATAACCATATTCTAACATTAGCCATAAGTGAAAAGGAAACAGTTGGAATTGCCGAATCATGATGTTAAGACAGAGTAAAACACGTGACCAAGGACTGAAATGTCCAAGTTAACGTTCTGCAAACGGTTACTATCCTATTAAAAAATAAGAAAAAATAATCGTTATAGTGGGTACGGAAGCCGAATGGGTGGTCCTATACGACATCATTGATAGTGCGATGGAGGCACTTCTTGCAAAAAAAAAAAAAAAAAAAAAAAAAAATGCTTATATTTGGCCACTCAAGGCCCGTACTCACCTCTTCCCAGTCAGAATGGTAACAATAACCAATTCGAGCAATTTTTTCAAGAGGCCATTCATAAATAATGCTTTCCTTGTTGTCACCTCCTCGAACCACAATGAAATGAGCTGAAATTTTGATATCTAAAGGATTGATCTTAGTGGATGGTTCGATTCTCTCGATAGAGAGCACAACTTCAGAAACATTCCCCTGCCAGTAATATTGTCGAACAAATCAATAAATTCAGACCATATTAAACCTGTTGGAGTGATTGCAATCAAAAGACTTGAACAAAAGACATCGAGTAAGCTTGCTATATAAACATAATCTGACGGACCCTATACGGAATTCGTTAAATGTAAGCCGCATTAATGTAGCTATTACTAAAGTAAAGAAGTAAACTACCGAAAGCGTTAAAATTAACATCACTGGATACCATAACCTTAAGTTGTCTACTTAGAACAGTTGATCATACTAAGATATATTGCACAAGATTGATTGCACGAATTGCAAAAGATTCAAAACGTTCAATAAGTTAATTCCGAAAATCAATTCCGCAAGATATTGAAGTGATGTGAAAGTATCTCTCACAAGATTACAACGATAGCTCACCTCCATGTGATTTTCAGGTTCAGTTTCTATAGGGCTCTCAACCTCCATGCCTGCGGACACACAACATATTGATATCAATCCAAATTTCGCACAAAAAATGAAAATAAAGTATGGAACTTCAACGAAGTCAATTGAAAATTTCGTGGCTTACATGCATCCTTGACAATAGGAGAATCTTTTGCCGAATTAGAGGATGGCAAATCATCTTCTTCCTGATTGTCCGACAGAATTTCTTGATCAGAGGAGGGGAAGTCCACCGTCTTTGGAGGACTATCTTTGCCATTTTCATTACAGGCAGACTCGAAAACGGACATGGGCAGGGATTCAGAATCGTCACCATCTTCGGTGAGGTCAAGTACGGGATGAACGTCATTGACGAGCCATTCTGGCTGTTTTCTCTTCCGCTGCGTGATCTTTGTCACGACCATCGTCCAAAGCGTCAAATCACTTCGCCAATAGCGACAACGTCATATTGTGTAGCGGAAGCTTGACGCAATGTTCTACCAAGAGATGCTTCAGCTTAGCAGATTCAGAAACCATGATCTATGTAAGCTACAAAGAGGAACGGTTTGCCTTCCTACACAACCGGTAGACTCCAAGCAGAAAGAATACGACGCATGAGATTCATCTTCCTGATTAGTGACTTTCATTTCAGGAAATGGCATCTCAACAGTTACAGCTGCGAAATAAATCAGATGCTTATCCCACCAATACAAATTCCCAACCCTGCAAATCCGATAACACACTGTCAAATCATTGTGCAATGCTCCACTGTCACTAACAAAATAAAAAAAAGAGCAGTTCCAAACATTGAAAACAACACTGTATGTACATGCTGAGAGTTGCAGATCTCAGACACTAGGTCTGCTCTGTAACGAAACCAGCTGACTACCCTAGATCAAATACCAAATTCTAGGGTTCATGGTTTCACGGTCATTGAATTGCCAAAGAAATCATATTACACTTCTATGCTCCAATTTCTTGCAGAAAAAAACACCAAGCATAAATACTGAGCTACCAAAAGTAATAGACCCACTACACAACCAGAAATGTGATTCATCAAAATTCTACAGCATTGAAACAAACTACGTACAAGAAGCGACGTGACCCTTAATCCAGATCAACAGCACTAAAGCACCCTCTAAAACATCATCTAATTCGACCTCTTACAACTCCCACTCGTCCTGAGACAACCTCCACGCAGCCTGCCGAGAATGCAATTCCACATTCTAGCACACCACCTGGAAACTACAAACCAACCAAGAACCTCTCTACAACTCGTGTGAACTTCAAAATCCTCATGAACCAGCACGACAGTAGAAAGAGAAAAAATATACAGTAAAAAACACCTCCGCAAAGCTCTGGAGATCCTCCTTCCAGCAAGTAGGGGATCATAACAATGCGCTCAAGCATCAGTAAGCAATCCCAGCGCAACACAGCGCAGGTCCTGCCATGCTCTGCCGCAAACGACGACCGTCATTGTGAGTCAGATAGGTCCACAACTCTTCCGATTCCCCTTCGTGATATCTTTCCGAGACGAATACTCAATATGTTCATATTTCGTAGATGTAGCAAGGTGAGTCGCACCGCTCAAACTTGTCGAACACGAATCGCGCATACGGTGTCCAGGTTTTTGGATTACCGAGATTCGAACACAAGACCGGTTGTAAGTGTGCATACCCTGGAGGCCGTGAATATGAGAACGAAGAGGATCTTGATCTGTTCGGTGGAATGAGGAACACCGGCGGACCCTGCAGCATGGCTATGGCGAGAGCTGGGGGCTGAGGCGACGCCGGCGCAATCATGGCGCTGTCCACGCTTGTGGCGATGCATTATTGCGGGACCGAGCTTGTGAGGATGGTGTATTGATTGCGAGGCACCTATCGGATGTCCCAGTGGTTAATATGGTACAGGATCGACGACGGTAGGCAGTTTGGAGTGGCGGAGTGAAGGGCGTGTCGGTGATGCTCCGGATACTGGCACGGGAGCGATTGCAACCGCGAATTGAGTTTCCTGGCAGCTGAAATTATGAGGCTCTGATTCTCATTTTTCGTCTGAGTTGTAGGTATGGTTCCTTCAGGGGAACGGAGTGTTCAAGAAGAGGGGAAGGGTGAGAAATAAAGGCAGGATTTGTGGTGTAGAGACCGACTTAGAGGTGGAGATGATGGTGAAGGTCTGCTGCACGTTGGACGATGGGAAGCAGGTATTGGTGAGTTTTTAGGGATCGATGTTCGGTTTTCGAATTATTGTTTTTCAGCAACTGTGTTAAGAGTTAGATATTTTTGTTAGCAGCTGCACGCAAGGATAGTGCTCAATTGAGGTTTTGGATTGTTTTGTTCACTTAAAATGCGATTTTTTCGAATATGTCTGGCTTCAGTACTTACTACCCTGTGCGTAATTTATAACCACTCGAATCAAGTCATTTGACGATTTGTTGAAGAGACCGACCGTTTGGAAGATTTTCTGTGCTTGACTTGCAAGCATGAGTGGATGTTTACTGAATCGATGGAGAGTCTTTGCAGGATTGGACAAAACTTTCCGTGATCGCACTCACTTGTTAAGCCATTGAAGAAGTTCAAGAGTTCCAGAATTGCACATTTCAGAACAGCTGCTGCAGCGCACCGTGGAGGAGGAGGGGGGGAAATAATTATAGAAAATAGAAAATTATAGAAATAGAGGTATGCAATGGATTGCTGCTTGTGTTCCTCTTTAGGGAACTCCTATCGGCCTCCACGCAACAGTTTGTGCTTGGCATGCTATGAATGTGCGAAGTCAATTATTGATCTCTGTCAGAAGTTGGAGGAACAGTCGCGCGATGATGTTGAAGATGGGGACAAAGCGAGGCAAGTACCTTCTCACGGGCTGCAGTATGCATATAACCAGATTAAGCAGCTGGAGCAGATGGAAGAAAATGTAAGTGAGAAGCTTGAGTTTCTTGAGTCACTTGTAGAGGCTTTCCAAAAGGGGATGCATACTGATGTCGAATTGATTACGAAAGATGGTGTCTCCATCCATGCCCACCGCGTTGTCATGGTTAGTTCTTTCTTCTTTCACCTTATCCTTGCTTCTTAGATTCCTATGTAGGATGTTCAATGCTCCTGCATTTCTGAACTTTACTACAAATGTCTCAATGAGGATTCTTTATACCCTCTTCTTAATTTCCACCAGTTGACTAAATGTTGAGCAGAATTGTCATAGTTAGTGCTGCAAAAACTGAAGAAATTATTCTGGGTGGAACTATGGTGCGATACCACCACGTAACATTCTTGCCTTGAAAAAAATCATCATTTTAATCACTCACGAGTGGTTTGTTGGATGCTGACCGAAGGCAACAAAGTCATCTGTATTCAGAGCAATGTTCGAATCAGATGAATTGAAGGAACCACACAAGGGAGCTGTTTACATACAGGAGTTGACTCATGATGAACTGCGGTACCTTCTTGAATTCTTGTACTGTGCTGAAATTCCCCATGACGCCATGGCGAAGCATGGTCGTGCGCTCTTGATAGCAGCTGATAAGTACGACATACCAGTACTGAGCAAGGTTTGTGAAGCTTTCATCTGTCTTACAGTGTCTTCATCTAATGTTCTGGAGGTTCTGGAGTTGGCAACTCTCACTCATGCTACTTCCTTGAAGGAGACAGCCCTGAATGTGATTCTAGAGAGCTATGAGGACGTGGTCTTCTCAAAAGAGTATGAAGACTTCGCCATGCAGAACGCTCTTCTATCAGTGGAAATAACCAAGGCCCTTATAAAGGACCTTAAGAAGTAGATCGTGATATTTTTAAGATTGTAATATTTATTCACAGATGATACCCTCAGGTCGATCCCATCTGAACGGCGTAACATAGCGAATGGAGAGTAGCACAGAGGGGTGAACTGGCAAAACAGAACCCCATGTATAGATAAATACACAACGACGCAATGGGTGCCTCGGATTGACTCTCTTGCTAACGTAGCCCACATAGGAGTTCAAGTTTTAAAACTGTGTGACAGAAAATTTATGGATCTTCTTCATTATGAAATGCAATGGAGGTGGCTGCATTCAAAGAATGCCTATTCTGCTTTTGAATTCCCATGTTTCTATTATTTTTCGTGTACGCCATGTGTTGCACAGAAAAGCCGGTCAACATGAAAACTTATTGATGTGCGGGAAGGGATTGTTCAACGGAAGAAGATCCAATAAGAAAAGGTAAGTAACTTTTGATATACCCCTCACCGCATAAAGTCCAGATACTGCCAATAGTGACACGACCAGCACCAGGGCAGCTGCCATCTTTTCCGTGGTAGTGAGAAGCCAACCCGAGATTCTGCGAAACTTTTTAGTTTTAGACTAAGTGTCGTTTCGATTTCGTAGTTGCCGACACCTTCACAACGTAATATACGCATAGGAATCACACACTGGGAGCATACTTGACTATTGCTTTTGTAATTCTCAACATCGATACAGTTTTGTAGCGCTCAATTCAGCACAGTGTGCCCTTTTCCGAGAGATTCCTGTTATTAATGAAGCATTGTTTCAATATTCGAAACAGTATATCAAACATCTTGTTTTAGTAATACTGTAAAACAAATATCAACTAAGTGTAGTATGACTAAACAGACGACTCCTACAGTAAAAATTAATTCATTTTTTCTCTAATATAAAGTTTGTTTGCTAAATGAAAAGAAATACTGTAAGATGGAATAAAAAAATCAACAAAAAGAAAAATAAAAGTTTTATTCACTTTAAACAATCGTAGGCTTTCTTGCTGTAGAATTTATATCATACATAGGAAATAAAGTAAATAAATAAATGTAGATTTCATAACATTAATAAGTAAAAATAAAAATAAAAAACTGCACCAAAATGCTTGATGAAATATTATAATGATTACATATTAAGATTATGACACTGTAGAGAAGTCTATAAAACAAACAAAAAAATCAGACCAAACACTATATTGATTTAGATCTCTTTATTACAACAATGACAAAAACTTTGTTAGAAACAAAATTAGAGTGATCTTAAAATATATTAGAAGTTTTGAAGCGTGATTTTAGCATAGAGTTGAAAATCAAAGCTAATTAGGAACAAGACTTAAAATTACTAAATGGAAATAGACGACAAAGAACTTGCAAAGAAAAACAAAAAGATTTGCTAACATTGTAATTTGTAAGTTCCTATTTCTTAAAAATCAACAAAATAGAAAAATCTATTATCTTTTAGAATCTATGTTTTAATGCTTCCAACCATGTTTCAAGTTATCTATTTCTATTTTTCTTTATTTTGCATCTAATTCCATAACTTATAATACATTTATCAGAAAATAAATGTAAAATATAGCATGTGTTGCAATATTGTTATTCTATTAAATTCTACTATAACATACAACATTTTCAATCGCTAAGCTACACACATCAATATTAAAGAATGTAAATGTGAGATAAATGACAGTCATCTAGTTAAGGTCAGAAATCCGACCACAACAAATGGCCCACACTAATTCAAAACACATCCGTAACTACAACCCCTTAAAATACCAAAAACCAAAACCTCATCCCCAAAACGATCTCATCGACTCGTAGGACTTCTCTAAGATAACTATAATTCATCCAAAAAGATTCATTCAAGTCTTACCCAATTCAAATTCGTATTCTCCCGCCTCTTATTAGATATTTTCACAAGATGACATCAGAGCGGGAGAGCTTCAGAAACTGTTTTCGACGCCGAACTAACGGCTCCTAACGCCGAACTCTCCACTATGATTTTGTGAGTGAGGAATTTCAGCTTGATCCACAACTGACCAGGGACCACGATGGAGAGAGAGAGAGAGTTATGGATTCATGTGCTGTAGGACCGCTTTTGGGTGGCGACGCCGTAAAAAGCAGAACGGATACAGTTGCTCTGGCGTGGTACGAGATGGAGAACTTTGCGCTTTATCCAATAAATCTCACGGTCTCTAAGAAATGAAGTTCTGATGCTACCCGGCTTAAACGTTACATTCTTTTACAGAAGTGGATGTCTTTATCATCCAGCTTGTCAGTCTCTGAATGTCGGGATGCAGTTCAAATACTAAGACTGGCGGAACAGTGAATGGAGACGAGGAGGAGCCCTAATAGTTGTGGATTTTATCGTGCAGAGACTCCACAAGTAGGTCGTTCCATGTATCAATGGGCCCTGGAAGGCACCAGTGAAGGCAATCTTTCTGAGGGGGTTGCTTCATCTCCTTCGAGAATGGTTGGAATTTCATGTACACGTCAGGGTGACCGTCGGCTCGGATTTGAGCAAGGTTGGTGATATCGAGTAACTTAATTCGTTGTTTTTCGGATTCACTCATCGCACCTGCAGATTGCCACCAGAGGTTAAAATGGTGCAGAGAGCAATGCCGTGATACAAACATGATACGATATCTGGTTAAGAAAGCGTTGGATCTTCAGAACTCCATGGTCGGGTTTGAGGTTTAGAAGAGTTGCTGTGCTGATAGCTGTGCCACTAATTGAATGAAACAGTAGGTTCTTACCAGTGACGTTTTGGAACTCTTCGGTTTGGATCTCGTACATCCAGTTAGTCAGACTGCTGATGGAAACACCCCCGGGAGTTGTGCGCACACATCTACCCCCGCTGTCCCATGCTCCTCCCTCAAAATGATCAGGGGCAAAACTGCGGAGAATAGTAGTGCCAGTGTACCCAGGTATGGACAAACTGTTCTTTAGAAGAGAATGGATAGCCAATCGATAAGGATCTGCAAATCCAATTTCCTTCTCGCACTCTTTCCATCCGTCACATATGTGGCCGCCCATAGGTTTGTTGCCTTTCAGGAACAGCCCCCGTTTAAACCACCATTGCCCTAAAAATCAAGCAGGCGGTATGACAAAGTGAGCTAGACAACAAGACGAGCTTCTGAGGGAACGTTATAAACATAAACCTACGTGAAGGAGCTCGATCGAAGAAAACATACATGGCGGTGGTTTGATCAAGACCTGTAGAGATTTGTAGAATGTCGACGCCAGAGATACGATCCGTCCATGCTCTGTCGAGTTTATCTACATGTATGTGTGCTACACTCTGCGTTTTGTTGTCAGGCCATGTGATGTCTTTGTCTTCTACGTGCACAAGGTATGGAGACCAGTAGATTGCAACTGTGAAGTCGTAGGTACGAAAGACATAGATATTGTCTCTATCATCTGGCGCGTTATATGTGTGATCCGGCACTTCAACCTGCACCATGCAGAACCGTTGTCACATTAAAATCATGAACCTTTGGTCATCAACAAGAGATGGAAAGATGTCCCCACATCCGAATTCCCCGTAGTACAGGGGTCCTGTGACAAAACCCAACAGTGGCTTATATGAAATGAGCGGAGGAAATACCTGTGAAAGAATGCACAGAAGAGACTGAAACTGATTGCGGGCAATGGAATCTCCGGCAAATGTCATGGAACGGTTACGCATGGCGATCAAGAAGGCTTGCGCGTCAATTCTAGGTAAGTCGCACTGCTGTGGTTGCCACTTCCAATACATAAACCCTGTGTCTGGCCGTCCATTCTTCATGCAATTCTGGTGCCCTTGAATATACCTGCACGAGGAGTTGGTATACTGAGGTGGACGCGGGTCTGGCACCCAACTGCCTTTCACCAAATCACAGTATTCTGGAGTCCATACAGAACGAATATTTGATCATGCTACATCGTTTCGTGAGGGTAGACTAACATACGGAAGGATGAATTCGGTCAAAGGTCAATCACATAAAACCAAAGAGAAATTCCTTTGCAACAGATGAATGACACAAAACAATCACCTCTTTTGCTAGAGTTTGCGGTATTGGTGGGACCTTGTCTCTTCATGACTATGCTAGAGGTATTTTCCTCCAGAGTGGTCTCCTCATGTGGTTTAGAGTCATTTACACCCAGAGATGTGGAATTCTCCACGTCTACTGATGTTTCAATCGTGCGTTCTACATCCTCATCAGTTGCCTCTGGTTCGGGTGAATTCCTACTACTTTCTTCTTGGTTTGTGTCTGTAGTGATCTCAGTGTCCCCGTTACTCGGCTCTACACCAGTGTTACTTGAGCTTGTAGCACTGATGAATGAAGGGACGTTCTTGCCTCCCTGTAGACAATCCCATAATCATTACATCTTGTCGAACAGGACCTGCATTTCAGCAACTTGAAATCAAGTGTGTAAATTACCCTACTGGGAACAAGAACATGCCTTGGGTTTATGAAAGAAAAGCATAGCTGCTGTTGAAGCATCAGGGGTGGTGTAGTAGAAGAAGGAGCTAGTGATGACGACGGGAAGGAAGGCTGCAAATAGAACTACTGTTAGGAGCCTTCTGGAGTTAAACAGGCTCCGAATCTCTGTCCCCGGGATGCTCCCAACTGATTTCTCAACGTCATAAATGCCTATTTGTTGATCACGCCCCATCTTGACACAAATGGAGCAACCCAAAGCACGCTGTTCACCAGACGCCTGTTATCTGATTGATACATGTTCGTAAAGGAGGCGTGGAATGTTAACAACTGAGATCGGCTAAAATTGTTCGATGACAGAAAATCAGAGGATATTCTTTTCTTGGATACAATTATAGAGAGATCTCTGCCGTAAGAAAGAAATATAACAGGATTACCCCGACCGAGTGAGAAGTGAACAGTTTCAATTCACAATCTGACCAGATTTAAACATAGAGGATTCTTTGTTTGACGCGCGTTGTTACTGTACATTATGCAGTAAGATCTAAATGAAACCCTTTCGGCGGCAAAGCTCGCAGCAAGGTTATATCCCTTTGCCCCGGTTCGGAGCTTAGCCTGCTTTTCTGAAGCCACGAATGAATCATAAAACTCTATACTCGTCTTCCACACAGGTTGAAAAGCCAAGGTCACGATCTGAATAGTGCCGAAGCACCGACTGAACCACAGCCTTAAGTTATGCCGACACCGTGGTGGTACAATCTTCCGTATTCCCTCCAGTGAGTATTAGACCTCAATCACATGCATTCATTCACCTAAGTCAGCAATCGTGTAAGCCTGTGCATGTCCATTGAGGGTTTTACCATTATGCTCAAATTCACCTCGTGAAATACAACTAGTCGAAGGGCTGGGAATGAACGACACATGGATACAAGGTTCTACGATGCAAGCTTCAGGTTTCTCTCCGGATGCGAGAAGGTGGGACATTGATTAACCAGGTGCAATCTGAAAGGTAGGAGCGCACTGTAGCGGTTGAAGACTTACCTCCAAAATGCCCGAGTTCCGTTCATGATCGCATTGAGGGACTCTGCGAACACCACCAGACGACACAGAATGTAAGCCAGGCAGTTCAGCAGCGCAATCTCAACAACCCACAGTATTCTGGTAATGATTCATCAAAGACATCCATCCTGACATTTGCTGCACAGTACGAGACGACGTATGGAGCTTGCGCACAAATTCAGCATCAGTTACAGAAAGCTTGGATCCTCTCCACCAAATGGAAATGGCTGGTTTGCAAACAAGATCATTCGAGAGTCTCCTTCGATTGTTCCAGGTAAAACGACCATCGATCTAACTACTCCCACGGAATTTCACAAGTCACGTCTAGGGACACTTAGTTCTATTACTTACATCTGCAAAGGAGTAGTGATGCGCGACCCCAGAGACACACTGCTCGAGGCAGAGAAAAATGGACTACAAACGGGATGGATATGGGTGTGTGTATGTGTCCGGAGTGGCTCTAGTAAATGCCAGAGGATTGCATGTGATACAGTACTTCTGCAGATGAAAGCGAGGAGGCTTACGACTTCTTATCGATTGTGTGACAGCTGCGCCGTTTGAATCCCAATGCACACAGACGCTCTGGTTGTGAACAGCTAGCTCAATCCGATGTATTCTCACGTTCAAAAATGTGGGAAGGGGCAAACTTGTAGAGATCAGTGTCAGAACAGCATGATTGACGTGTGGGCTCTGAGCGGCGCCATTGACAGCAATCGTAGGTGGAGTCCACACCCCTAGGTATAAAACATTATTCAGGACCACAGGTCACGCACCGGCAAACCTCACCAGGGAGATTTTGAAAAGGTTTGATTTCGATTTCATTTATTGGGACTACGGAGAAATGCCTTCTGTCCTGCTTGGGCAATCGCATTGTGTTGTAATTGAAGCATCGATTTCAGCAAAGCCACGCAAGAAACTCCGCGGGTTACTCCACCTAGTGGACGCTGGTATCGGGCTGACATTCATCTAAAAACAACAACAAAACACCAAGACGACCGAACGGCCAGGCTATATTTGGGTCTCGTCTTCTTTTTTACACCTCCTTCTGGGTGATAATAGAACTCGCCAGATATTACTGCCACATCACCACTATCCCTGCCATCAACCATTAGCACCTAAAAGCAGGAGAATCCGGACAAATCATCCCTAGTAATGTTCCTCTCTCCCAGGAGCGCACTTGCTTAGGCGGTAGCTGTAGCTCTTAAAGCCATGTCCAACGCATGCCAGATTGGTATCACCGCATCCCAGGTCCATCCACCCTCGTCGTCTTGAGAAATGCGCCGATGAAGTTTCCAACCAGATGCACTGCGTTTCCACAACCTGAGCAATCCACGGAATAAGATCCAATTGCGATTGAAAAAAGGGATACATGACAAGAATTCTGAGTGAGAAACGCACGAGAACCAAAAGTTTTACCGCCCACTCAGAACATCATGCAGTTGACCACCATCATGAAATCGGATCTGTACCCATCGACAGGGAACATATTCTACGCAGAAAGCAAGCTCATCAAGTTGCTCTGACCCCAATCCATCGAGTTACATAGAACAGCTGCATGAGAATCATTGGAACTCTGCATCCACAAGGTTGCTTTATAACCAGTTCAGGCGAATGCAAGCCAATTCGTCCCCACCCTCACCGTTGAATTATTCCAACGACCACGAGGGGGGCTATTCGTCGCGAGTATCGACGAATCTGAGGTACGTATCCCAAAGACTTCACTTTAAAGATGGCTTTAACCAAAAGCCATTCGTTTTTGGGCGGATCCGGAAATCATAGCACTGTGTTTGGACGATATATTGTCGGAGAGTGTCGCATCAAGACGGAAAGTGGAGGTTGTACCATGGCATTCTAAACTAATAATGCCCGCATGGACGAGGTCGCCACACGTCTGATATGCTCATCTCGGTCGATGCCAGAGTGGCATTGACCTTCATCGCCAGCGGTTGAACGTTGGCCTCGGACTGAAACCGGAGGCATTCCATTCGCATGTCAATCCCACCCCCGAAATTGGTGCTCGCAAAGTGGTCGCAGGTGGGTTGTGGTCAGTCTTCGATGCTTCTGGGCCCAATTTGGCAATTGCCGAGCTTGCACTGGATCAGTGATCCTCGACTGTGGACCCATACTGGCATGATTCACCGACGACGGCGATGGTTCTTCGCTTCTCGAGTTGAAGAGTGAACGGTGTGTGCTCCCATTCTCAAGACCGACGATGAGCCGTTTTGTCCGATTGGATGAATGAACCAAGTCTTCTTCCTCATTCAATGTACGTTCATCTGATGCGATTATTGTGTTCCTCGTGTTGGTACTTCAAAACGTAAATTTTAGTATTTCTGCATGCGTGTTTTATAATTATCCGTTTTGGTACAGTTTAAATTTCTTGACTTATAATTGAGTGGTTATTTCAAAGGTGGTTTTTGAATGGTAGAGCATATTGCATGCATCAGCTACAAAAACCTGGTTCGGGCAATTTGAACTCCAAAAATAAACTGAGGTAGAAGTACAATTGCACATTGCTTGTCCTTGAATCATTCTGAAGGTCAATGTGGATAAATCAAGTAACACGCAAACAATGTTTAGCTTGATATTTGAATGATTTTAATCATCAGATTTGCATGTGGGCTAAAAATCTCGCAGCTATTTTCATCAGTGCTATAAATGATTGTTATATATATATATATATATATATATATTTTTTAATCAACTGATAATGGTTTACACTCAGTTTTAGATCTATACATTTATTACTAGGATTAATAATGAAGTGTAGGACAATAAAAGAAACTTTTTTGGAGTCGTATTAAACTCCTTATTTCCTTTTTATTATTTGAAATACAAACTCCATGGCAACTAAAGGTGTCATTCCAGGAACACTGTCTTTGTCAACTGAGTTGACTAAGATTTCAAGGATCTTCAATCAATCTACTTTTTGCCACAGCAAAAGTATGTTTTCTCACTGATTTCTGTGTGATTTGCAAATACCAGCACATTTGCATGTACTCTTATGTATCAAATTGTGTAAAGTACATAACTGTTGGTGATTGCAATGTTATCATGTTTATTTTGTTTTTGTTTTCTTGCTTGTTGAAGCAATTCTCATTTATATAATATTCTTCTGGTATCCTTCTGATTGATAAAATCACAATATGTCTATGTATGTGTGGATATATATATATATATATATATACACACTCATATAGAAAAGAATAATTTGAGAATTGAACAAAGAAAATAAAAAAATGTAATCCTGCACTGTCTTGGTCATATTGATGGCTCTTTTTCAAGCTGTAAATGGCTAATTCATGAATTGACAATTAGCATATCAACTACTATGTATTTTAATTTTAGTTTTTTGAAATTCTGCTAAATACTTATGTAATTTCAACATAAAATAATAATAAACAAGTAGTAACATACTCAATGACTTTAAAAAATTGAGTATTTATTTACAATAGTTGAAAGAAGGCTGATAGGTACTTAAATCAAAGCTACTTTTTCATGTAATTGGGAAACAAATAAAAACTTACCAATTAATAAATAAAGAATAAAATCATGAGAATTGGAATGTTCGTTTGGAATGTTTCTTAGAGCACTTCATTGAATCATTTTTATGACTATGATGCCACTGTTGTTGGAGTGGCCATTTGAGAAGGGTCAGTTAAAGCCACATGGAGGGAAGGCAATAAAGAGCTCATACAATAGATGATGGTCCAATGATACACACATTGGCCCACACTATTTGCCATTGAAAAATGAAGATGAAGATGAGTTCCCTATCCTTGGAGACTCTTTTGGCAGTGTTCCCCACCAAAACACATCATATGAGATGTTCCCAATGTTCCCAATGGTTCCCAATGCACCCACATGTCCATTCATACACATCCCATTTGCACATGACATTGAAATTTTAAGTTGAAGTGATGGGATTTTAATAAGCATTGAGCACAGAGTAGACCATGTCCATCCTACAAAAGGAAGGTTGGACGTCATGGACAGTAAAGAAGGTTCTTAATTGTCTTCTAAATTAGACGGTGGTACAATAATAGTTATTGTTCTATGTTTTTCATGGAGCTGTTCAAGTTATGCAACATGTCATTCAGGTTTCTGAAGCTTTTAGAAGTGCACAATAGAGTCAACTGAGAAAAAAAAAAAAAAAACAAAACAACAACAAAAATATATATATATATATATATGCTATCCAAAAGTGGTTGTAGAATAAATTTTCTGAACAACTGATCGGATTAACTTGTATGTTAGTTTGAAACTAAAAGCAAAAAAGTCAATCCAGCCACCATCTCAAATATTTAAAAAAACATTAATCACTACGTGAAGTATAGATTAGGCTTATAGAGTAGAAATTTAGCATCAAGAAATTATTGTGAATTTTGCTAACTATTTAAGAAAAATGTGTTTTGCCACTAGCATTATGTTTTTGTGATTACATTAAAGTCTTTACAAAACTACTTAAAAAAAATACTAAGGAATAATTTTGTATTATCTTTATTATAAGCAAGATAATTTTAGGTTTTAATTTCATAACAATTAGCTTGGTTGCTTTAAAGTGTGTTGGCAAGATGAAAAAAATAGATTGGTTGACATAATAGCATTAAAAGATGGACTTATGATTATTTAAAAACTTTAGAATCAAAATGATTGAAAAGACATTTATAACATAGACTATATAAGATTATTTTTTTGTATGTAGATTAAGAAAATTTACAATTTTATTTTTAACAATAATAAGATTTTCATTGCTTTTATGTTTGATGTGAATTTTTAGTTGTTATTTTTTTTTCATTATTCTATTTCAAATTGACCAAATGCTTTAAATCAAATAATTGGAAGGATATAAAGCTTATAAAGAATTGTTGTTTATACCAACATAGATGGCTTACACTATCTATTGTTTTACATTGTTAGAAAGACTTAAAATCCTTCTTACATCAAAAATATCAATTATGATAAAATTGATGCAAATTACTGCATAACTGCTAAATTATAGATAAAAATTATTCTTTTTTTAGAATAATTGAATTGATTTAACTATTCTATAGTAAGGCAAGAAATTCTTCTATTAATGGATAAATATTTTACATATTTTTGCTTAGAATTGTTGCCACAATTATCAAAATTCCTTATTTATTATTTGGCTCCAACCACCACATAAATAATTTAACTATTCAATATACAAATCGTTTAGAATATAAAAATATTTTGTAGAAAATGCTTCAATTAAAAGATTATTTGTACTTTAGAAAAAATAAGAAGATTGAATAATATTGAAGATGTGAAAAAATTAAAAAATGAAGATATATTTTATGCAATGCTTGTATATATTGCAATATGGTATAAAGTAACAATTAAAAAAAAATTCAAATTGCTTTAATCATTATCAATTCCAAATATCAAATATAAACATTATCCTTCCTAAGACAACTATTGAACCTTGGATTGAAGTGATTCAAGATTTTTGGTCTCAAATCCAAAGGTTCTACTATACTAATTCAATAGACATATAAAAAAATTTTAACTTTCAAGAGAAAAAAAGAAATTACTTACACTTATGATATTGATAAGAATAAAGATTCCATAATGGTGGAGCATGTTATGATTGAAAGAGAAAGATGTCAAGGTGATGGATAAAATTTGGATGATAAAAAAGATGTGGTTATAATAAAGTCATATGAAGTATTAGATCTAATTAATTGATTTGAGATAGTTTTTTTGTAATATAAAAGAAATCATGTAGCTGTTTTTAAATTTTTTGTAATTTGACTTCAATTGCATAAGAATTACAAATTGATCAATCAAAAGATTTTACATAAAATATATTCTTCTCTTAATTTTTAATTTTTAATTTTTAATTTATTTTTATCCATGATGTATTATTTTACACATCCTTGTCTACTTGTATTGAGACCATGAAATATATTAATAATATAATATTAAGAATATATCATTTTTGTATTAAGTTCTAAATT